AAATATTTAATACCACTTAAAATAATAAAGGATACGAGGATATCCGCAGTAGAACCAGATAATCGTCATAGCCCAACAGATGAGTAATCTGAAGTGGCAATTGACCGGCCATATAGCTCGAAGAACCGACAACCGATGGGGATGAAAGGTTCTCAAGTGGCAGCCTCGTACCGGCAGGCGAAGTTTAGGGCGTCCCCCTACTAGTAGGTGTGATACTAGGAGTGATGACCTGGTAAGACATGCAGGAAGTCAAATGATGCAGGTGGCCAGGGACCGTGCTTTGTGCCGTTCCCTGGTGGAAACCTATGTTTAGCAATGGACTTGTGAAGGATTGTAGTGATGATGATAGTGATAAAAATAAGACTTAAAAATAATACAATAACTGAAAAGAAAACTAAAATCCCTCAAAATATGGCCGATATTAAAATTTTTCTTGCCGTCTTCTTTCCGCAAAATAAATAAATCAGCGGTTTCAACTTACTACGACGATAATTTTAATGACGTAATTTTGTGTGAATGCCATCTTTGTTTAGGTATGCAGCTTCAATGCTTCCACTTACATTTCAACATGTTGTCAATTTAAAAAACAAATGTGTTATATAGGTTATTATTACTAAAAGATACGTTATAATAAACTGGTTATATTGTATTTCACAGTTCACTATTATATTATATACATAGTTAATTTTTTGCTTCTTTAGACTTCCATTTGGCACGATCCTGACGCACTTTTGTTTCCTCCTTTACATTCATACACCTACGCACACAGGCTTGTTGGTTAGGGATACTTTTAATCTGACCCATTTTCAATATGTATCGCTAATTTGGTCAATAAACTTTCGTCTAGGGCGTCTAATTCAGACTCTGCCGATTACTTCTGCAACATGTTTTCACTACCTTACATTAAGATTGGAACTAACACAGCATTGTAAATTGCCACACTTGCCTATTTTGACACATTCTGACTTCCCACAATAGAAAATTCTACTTTTTGTATATTTACTTTAATCTATTTTTGTTATTTCTAAACACTAATTGTCTGCTTAAGGTATTAAATTTGTTTAAGCGTTAAATAAAAATAAAACAGTTTATTATTTTATTATTTCCCGTTGTGACAACCTTACGAATTTTATTACGACGAAATCTAGACGGTGTCGGCTTTCCGACAACATCAAACGCGATGACTGACTTGTGCTTCATAGACTGTGCCCGAGGAAGCCGTTCCTAGTGGACTAGGCAAGCCACTCCAGATGCGTAGGTACATGTTGGTGGACTGTGAGGGGAGAGGATGTCCTCTCTCTCCACCCGCTCCATTCAAGGTAAAATCGCGGAGGTAGAAGAATATTGGTATGGCGATGTGCCACTCGTCCGTGACCTTGGCAAGGCTGCACCGCTGATATTGGCTGTAATGTGCGCCATAATTTTTATAGTAGAGCCATGATGCAGCTAAATTATTTCCTCAACTAGTTGTAGCATGAATTGGTTGGCTCGACTGGGGAATGACTACGCTTTTACAGAATACCAGCTGTTGGGTTTTTAATTGTGCATACATACATTTTCTATGCGCCGTGTAAAATATGATTGTGATGAATCAGTTTGCAATAAACACTCCTCAGAGCAAGACGTTATTTTCTTTACAAATCTATAGTCAGTGCAAAGTAAACCTTAAACACAGTAACATATGGTCGAGTTAGAGCCGGATCAATAGTTGTTTACTACATCGAGCGGCCGGCAACTAAGAACAATAGGAATGCATTCACAAGACCCTCGCTAAAGAAATTGAATAGCTACAATTTGTAAAGTGCAATATTATAAACATCGTTAACGTTCTTAATTGAAGTGCTTTAGTCTATTACAAAACGTGAAAATGAGTGAAAAATTATTAAATTTATTAGAAGAAACGGCAGTTCTTTTACAAAAGACACAAGTAAACTTAAAAAAGTGTCCGAAACAACGTTTAACAAAAGGTTATATTGAAACGAGATTACAGTGCATCGAAGAATATTGGCAAACATTTAAATCGACGCACCAGGACTTGGTTAAGTGTGTACCCAAAGAACAAAGGCCAAATATATCATATTTTGTTAACGAAGATTATTTCATCATCGAGGATTTGTACTTGTGTCTAAAGGGCGACTTGAAGGACATGTTGAGCGTAATACCATCTAGGAGGTTGGAATCTACGGACACCATGGGCGCGACCGGAGGCCTGGCGTCACCGCCAGAAGTCAAACTACCTCGAATACAGTTACCTTCATTTGGTGGGAGTTATGAAGAATGGCCGTCTTTTAATGATTTGTTTTCGTCGCTGGTACATAATAACAGTTCACTCAGTAAGGTTCAAAAGTTGCATTATTTAAAATCCAGCATAGTCGGAGAAGCGGAAGCGTTATTAAAACATATTAAAATTACAGAAGACAACTATGAACACGCATGGTGTTTATTAAAGGATAGGTATGGAAATAAAAGGCTTATCGTTAACTCAATAATGAAAAGGTTATTTGGACCAAAAAAGGTAATTGCACAAACAGCTTTTCAAATAAAATTATTACTAGATACAACTACGGAATTCTTAAATAGTTTAAATAACCTTCAGTTATCTACCGATTCTTGGGATCCGTTAATAATATTTCTGGTCGTACAGAAATTGGACCCAGATTCACATAAAGCATGGGAAGAGCATGCCTGGAAGGATTTAAGAAGTTTTTTGGAATCAAAGTTCCGCACATTAGAATTAATAACGCCATCTTCATCCATTTCACGGGAATCTAAAACAACAAAGGAAAGGTCATTCCATACGTCTGCTGTATTTCCGACGAGAACTTGCATAAAGTGTAATGAAGAACACACTATAAGTCACTGTAAAGATTTTGCAAAGTTGACACCTGAGGAGAGGTCTGAGTTTGTAAGAAATAAGAACTTATGTTACAATTGTTTGGCTCCAGGACATACTGCAACGAAATGTCGTCTTCATGTGTCCTGTAAGATATGCCATCGCCGACACCATTCATTACTACACCAACCAAAAGATGTTAACAAGCCAAACAATATACAAGCTCACCTTAATTACATGGAACCCCTTGAGGATGACAAGGGTGTAAAGGAGGAAGAAGTAGCATTATCATCACACTTAGCAACAAGAAGATCCACATCGTTATTGGCTACTGCATTAGTACCTGTAAGAGATGAGAACGGGCATACGACGATGTTACGCGCTTTAATTGACCAAGGATCGCAGGCAAACTTCATAACTGAAAGAGCGGTACAATTGCTAAGGTGTAAAAGAACGGCTGCAATGGGTAATGTAGTCATAACGGGAGTTGGTTCAACACAAACAAGGGTTAAACATGAAGTACATCTCGAGCTTCTTTCTAAATATGACCACCAATTCAAGCTTCGTATAAACGCATATGTCATGTCTACACGTTTAACCACTCTGCTACCATCAAGTTTTATCACTTATCTCGAGCAAGCCTGGCCGCATCTAGAAGGACTTATCCTGGCCGATCCTAGTTTTAACCAGCCAGGACGAGTAGACATGCTGCTTGGAGTTGAAGTATACGCCCAAATAATGAAGAATAATATAATCAAAGGACCCCCTGGTTCTCCATGTGCGCAAGAAACAAACCTAGGCTGGATCCTTTTTGGGACTGTTCGAGACAATACTGTACGGGATGAGATACTGGTAATGCATCACCACGTCAATTTTGATTATATGCTACAAACATTGTGGGAAATAGATCCTGAAGTTTCTAAAAAACTTACGAAGGATGAAGAAACCTGTGAACAATTATACAAAGAAAATTACACAAGGAATGAAGACGGGAGGTACATAGTTAAGCCGCCATTCAAAAATAATAATCAAAAGTCACTAGAAGGAAACACTAGAGATATAGCAAAAACTCGACTACTACAATTAGAAAGGCGATTTGTCAAAAACACAAAATAAAGGAGGAATATGTTAAGGTTATGGAAGAATATTTAAAACTACATCATATGGAAGAAGTGCCACAAAATGATATAAATAAGGCCGCAGTGTATCTTCCACATCATCCAGTAGTCAAAGAAACGAGTGAAACAACCAAGATTCGAATAGTATTTAACGCCTCATCTCCTGGAGCAAATAATGTTTCTCTTAATGATGAACTACTTGTTGGACCTCAACTTCAGGAAGATATGAGATCATTACCGATGCGGTGGCGACTTAGGAAAATATGTTTTGTAGCTGATATAGAGAAAATGTATCGCCAAATCTTAGTAAAAAAAGGAGGACGCAGATTACCAGCGTATTTTGTGGCGTAATAACCACATGGACTCTATGAAAGACTACCGCTTATTGAGGGTTACATTTGGCACAGCTTCGGCACCTTACCTTGCTGTGAAAACTCTCCAACAAGTAGCTGACGACGAAGGCAAGGATCACCCAGTTGCTGCTAAAACAATAAAAGAAGATTTTTTTATGGATGATTTAATGTCTGGTCAAGATAATATCACAAATGCAATAAGAACTGCAAAAGAAGTTTCATATATTTTACAAAAGGGTGGTTTTAAATTACAAAAATGGGCGTCTAATAGTTTGGATTTTTGAAGACATTCGAACCCAACGAACGAAGCTCTCTCATTAATATTGATTTAGATGTACATGGGACGGTGAGAGCACTTGGTTTATCCTGGAACATAGAAAAGGATATACTGGAGTACAATGTTAATTTACCAACGCCCTCTGAAATCATTACTAAAAGAGTCATACTTGCAGAAATCCAACGATTGTTTGACCCACTCGGCTGGTTAACTCCAACACTCCTTCTGCATTATTATTTTTGATTGTATTACTGATTGTACGCGATGCTCATAAAAAAACCCTACATGGAGGTATTCAACTAACCATGAACTATGTAAGGTCTCGCTTCTGGATAGTAAGAGTTAAATCACTGATAACATCTACCATACATAAGTGTCTTATTTGTGCCAAACAACGAGCTAACACTAGGACCCAAATTATGGGTGACTTACCAGAAGTAAGAGTTACACCGTCGCGGCCATTCTTACATGCGGGTGTCGATTTTGCTGGTCCGCTGCAAATTCTTACGACAAGAGGTCGAGGAATCAAAACTAATAAGGCATATATTTGCATCTTCATATGTATGGCTACAAAGGCAATTCACTTGGAGCCGGTTGGAGATATGAGTACCAATGCATTTTTAGGGGCCTTCAAAAGATTTATAGCAAGAAGAGGTAAATGTAGTCATATTTGGAGTGACCAGGGGTCAAATTTTATAGGAGCTAACAGGGAGTTAAAGGATTTGTGGCAACAGGCAAGACTAGAAATTCCTGGATCTTTATCAGATATACTCGCAGAAGATGGCACACAATGGCACTTCAATCCACCATACAGTCCAAATTTTGGTGGCCTTTGGGAGGCAGGCGTAAAGTCCATTAAATACCACCTAAAGAGGATTTTAAATAGCCACCTTACATTTGAGGAGATGTCCACCACTCTGTGTCAAATAGAAGCCTGTTTGAACTCTAGACCTTTGTGTCCAATAGATACAACAGACATTGGCTCTTTGGAGATACTCACTCCAGGACATTTTTTAATTGGTGAGGCTCCAATTAACATTCCAGAACCAGACTTAAGGCAAATTAAAGTAAATAGATTATCACATTGGCAGTATACACAGAGATTATTACAGGATTTTTGGCATCGATGGCAGAATGAATATTTGTCTAGGCTGCAACAAAGACCTAAATGGTTAAAACACACTCAAGAGTTTAAAATCGGTGACATTGTACTTATTAAGGAAGAAAATCTTCCTCCTGGGAAGTGGTCTTTGGGGCGTATCGTACAAAAGCATCCTGGACCGGATAATATATGTCGTGTTTATAGTTTAAAATGTAGAGATAAAATTGTTAAAAGATCTGTTACTAAGTTATGTTTGCTTCCAATTAATGGTTATGATTAATATTTGTTACAAAGGTTTCTAGTATTTAAGATAATTAATTTTAACGTTTAAAACAAACTATATTGTTAGTTTATCTGCTTATATCTCATGAGTAAAAACAATTCATAATATGATATGGAAATTACCGAATTGTATAACTGTTTAATTTACCTTCCGTTGTTTATACTTTCATTTGTAATTTAATATCCTTGTTATTTTCTTAGTTAAGGAATCATGTTTGTTTAATAAAAACCGTGGGTTTTTGGTGGGCGGTGTGTTGGGTTTATAATTGTGCATACATACATTTTCTATGCGCCGTGTAAAATATGATTGTGATGAATCAGTTTGCAATAAACACTCCTCAGAGCAAGACGTTATTTTCTTTACAAATCTATAGTCAGTGCAAAGTAAACCTTAAACACAGTAACACCAGCGCAAAATAATAACTTAATGCCGGAGCCGGAGACCTTGAAGGGTCGAAGATATATGTAGATGTCTATGAGTCACAGCATCCACTTACCATCAGGTAGACTGTGGTACCCGTTTGTTTTATTATTCTATAAAAAACTGTACTCTTTCTTCCGTTTTAGGGAGGATTTGTCATAATTGCCACGCTTGGCCATCGGATTGGCGATTACAATAACCTACGTCTAGTACTGTCATATATTATGATAAACTAATAAAAATTTATATTTTTATTCGCCTGCACCTTCGCTTTGTATTTGTAGCCATGCTCGTTTCCAAGAACCACCTGATTTTGAGGGCGCGGACGTAAATGTGTTATTAAAATATGTTCGGTTACTTGAGCAAATGACTTGCTCGGATTCAAAGAGAGCCTTTCTATTGAAATGATGTCCCTATTTCTGATGCATTTCACATTGTTATATTTTAAGCGATATTTAAAGAATATTCAGTATTAACAATAACATTTTGTGTAAGACAGTTTATTATCTCATCATTGTTACATAAATCAACTGTTGAAAATACGAATAAGTCTTCTTTCTAGCCACAAAGCGCGGTTCTCAACCATTTACAAGCACATTAAATTCTCGTATGCCACGTCAAGTAAATATAAATAATTAGTACATAAACACTCACGCCTGTCACCCAGAGGGGTAGGCAGAGATTATGGACTTCCATTTGGCAAGATCCTGACACACCTCTCTCGCTTCCTCCACATCCATATACCTACGCATACACGCTCGTCGGTTAAAGGTACTCTTGATATGGCCCATTTTTAATATATCGCCAATTTGGTCGATAAACTTTCGCCTAGGGCGACCCTTCCCGACTATGCCGTTCACCTCTGCAACATAAATTTGCTTTGTCACTCTTTCCTCATTCATTCTTTCTACATGGCCAAACCACCGAAGCATTCCTTTCTTAATCCTGGTCACAACATCATCTTGCAAACCACACTCTTCTCTTATTAAATAATTTCTCACTCTGTCATTCAGCTTCATCCCTAACATACTCCTTAATGACCGCATTTCGACAGCATTTATTCTACTCTCATGCTTCTTCTGCCACACCCAACTTTCACTACCATACATTAAAGTAGGTACTAACACAGCATTGTGAATTGCCATACGTGCCTTTTTGGACACATTCAGACTTTTCACAATAGAGTTTAGAGTCCCGTTCACTCTATTTCCTGCATTCACTCGTCGTTTTATATCCTTATCATATCTACCATCCCTGCTAAACACACATCCCAAATATACAAACTCATCTACTTGCTCTACCAACTCCCCTTCTATTCTTATTTCACATATCGTTTTACTTTCTTCTCTTTCAAAAACCATAACTTTCGTCTTACTTGCGTTCACTTTCATTCCCTTTTCTTTTAATGTCCTGTTCATTAATGTAATCATCATTTGCAACTCGGCTGCCGACGATGCAAGTTTGACTTGATGTAATAAATGATAAAATATAAATAATTAGTAATAAATGATAAATACAAAAATTGAAATAGGTCCTGGAAATAACTACCCAAAGAATAGGTATCAAGAAACTTATTTCATAAAAATAAAATAAAATAAAATAAAATATACTTACTATACGTAGGAAAAAAAAATTATGTCAAATGTCTTGTAATGGTTACTCCAATAGTGAAACTCCCTGACCATTCGACCCTCTATGTAACTACCTACTTCGGCGCTAAGGCTTGTTGATAGTAGCACCATTACATATTCTGTGCCGTTAGCGTCATCATGTCAGGTGTACACGGAGGTGTTACTAGCGGTACTGCGTTCTTAGCCAAATTGACTTTCTATGATCGTAAACGCTAAAAGAAAACTAGTTGAAATATGTAATTCCCATTAATATTTATAGTGTTCTATTAGAGTGATCGATTATAGAGGTCATCATGGTTAATCCCGCTGATCGGACATGTACGGAAAGTGGTGGGTAGAAGTGAGAGTGACGATCATTGGCCAACCTGCGCGCTTCGTTTACATATTTACTGTATGCGTAGAAGTATGTGGTTGGATTTACTAAAAATTTCACCATGTAAATATTTTTGTTTATAGAGAAGTAAACGAAGATGCGGCTCATCTGATGATAAGTGACTACCGCCGCCCATGAAGAACAGCAACACCAGGGGTAGGTGCGTTGCTGGCTTTTTAGAAAGGAGCAAGCTCTTTTCTTGAATGTCCCTAAGTCGTATTGCTCCAGAAAAATTGCCCGTGGTACCACAAAAAGGCACAGTGGTGGACCGCCGAACATCCAGATGTGGATTTTAACGTGAGTTTTGACGCGATTTGCGTTCATGAAATTTGGCGGCTGGAATTAATCTGAACAATTCTTCATAACACTTCCCGTGGTAGATGCTACAGAAAATGCAAAGGGATGCAACATCCCTTCTCAGCGCCAGTGAATTGAACCGATCAGAAAGAACTCGGTCGCCAACGATTTGAGCCGCTCTGCGCTGGATGCGATCAAGTGGAAGGAGCTGGCACTGAGATGCCCCAGCCCAGAGATGAGAACCGTATTTCATGTGATGCCAAAATTGCGCCTTGTAAAGTTGCAAGTGGTGTGCTGGCATAAAATACAGTCCCGCTCTGGTGGGTACGCCAAGCTTTTCAGAGGCCAATTTGGCCGTCCCTTCCAGGTGACCACGAAACTGTAAATTGTACCATATGTCGACGCCGAGTAATCCGTCGCTATATGAGGCAGCAAAGGGAGTGCCTTGAAACTGAGGAGATACGACAAAGGGGTTCTTTTAGCGGTTAACCTACAAACTTGCGTCTTCTGGGGATTGAACTGAACTAAAATTAATCGCCCCTAATCGAATTGTACAATAAAGTCTCGACTTCAGACACAAGTTTGTTCCGGTACTCGGTGACGTTTTCCCGAAAAATATTGGCACGGCCGGTGTATAAAGCAGCACCAGTGCTGTCGTCTGCATAGCAATATTACCGGTTTGCAACATATCACTGATATGCAGAAGACATTATTGGCAATTTTTGAGGACACAGTCATAACACGCCGCTTTTTTAACATTATTTTTTAGAAAATACCAAATAAAATGGGGTCACAATCAATCAACATAACATTACATTGTATAATAACTTTTTTTTTCGAAATTACGAGTACATAAAACACAAAAGGCTAATTTTGAGACGTTAATGTTTGAAGTTTGGATCAGTAGGCTATGAAGTAATAATCTACATTCTATTATTAATATTTCTTATTTTAGTTTATGTTCATTTGTCAACGGCATCTTTAATAAAATGGTTTACTGTTTAGCCCAATATAAGAATACTGTTTTGTACGTATGTCCGTTCCCTTAAAACAAATAGTTCAGTGTAAATAATTGTTATCGTAAAAATTTTATTCATTTTAATTATATGTAGTTCCTAGTCGCGAGTTGTATTCTCTACACCCACCATATGAAACATAGTGGCATCAAGCTGCTATTTTACGCTGGTATTCTTCAACGTGCGTCACATACAAGTGGTAAAATTAAAAAGTATTAATTAGTAAGTAGTCGAAGTCAATTAAATACGCGTTATTAAGGATAACTTAAAAACTACTGGTCAGGTCTTGATTTATATGGAACCACATGAGAAGCACCAGCATTCAAATTAAAAAGAATCAACAAAATCGGTTCACCTAGGAAAAAGTTTTTAGGTAACACACATAAAAAGTACAGTCGAATTGAGAACCTACTCCTTTTTTTGAAGTTGATTAAATAGTGTACCTATACATATGCGTATTACTAGTGCACATATGCTTGCACATACACAGATGCGCACTATACCCATGTCCTGTTGTCTTACTGTTGTGAGCAAAATTTTTATTTTTTTATTTTATTATTCTTATTAACCCCACACTAGGCTTTTTTCCTGTATCGTGGAGGCAGTTTACAAACATAAATTGCACGAGTACAAACATTCAGATCCGGAACAACTATCTGTAGGCCATACAAATACTTGTTCCGTGCGGGATTCGAACCCGCGACCCCAAGTGTAACAACTCATTGCTAAGTCACTTAATTATTTTCACAACAGAAGTCATCGGTCATCGGCCCCTCATGGCATATTGTTCCCATCTCTGGGCAGGGACTCACCAGTGCCAGCTCCTTCCACTTGACTGCATCCAGCGCAAAGCAGCTAAAATCTGTCGTCGACCGAGTTCTTTCCGATCGTCTTATCTCACTGGCAATGCATAAAGGTGTTACATCTCTTTGCGTATTTCATCGCATCTACCACGGGGAGTGCTCTGAGGAATTGTTCGGACTGAATTATTCCGCTCAATTTCACCATCGCACATCGCGACAAAACTCGCGATACCATCCATACCATCTGGATGATTGGCGGTCCACCACTGTGCGATTAAGAAGAAGTTTTCTTCCTCACACAACTTCCTTGTTAAATCGACTACCACCAGAGATTTTTCTGGACCGATACGTCTTAGGGACCTTTAAGAGAAGAGCCTTCTAATTTTTAAAAGGCCGGCAAAGTATCTGCAACCCCTGGCGTTGCAGTTGCTTATGGACGGTGGTAGTCACTTACCAT